TTTAACTTCTTTAGTTTTTTATGTATTCTGTAGATTAGACCTCTGTTACATATAGGGTTGGTGAAAATCTTTTCCCAGTCTGTAGGCAGTCATTTTGTTCTGATGACAGTGTCCTTTGCCTTACAGAAGCTTTTCAGTTTCATGAGGGCCCATTTATTGATTGTTGATCTTAGATCCTGTGTTGGTGTTCTGTTCAGGAAGTTGTTTCCTGTGCCCATGAGTTCTAGGCTCTTCCCCACTTTCTCTTCTAACTGATTTAGTGTGTCTGGCTTTATGTTGAGGTCTTTGATCCACTTGGACTTCAGATTTGTGCAGGGTGATAAATATGGGTCTATTTGCATTTTTCTACATGTAGACATTCTTGGTCTCTTTTTAAAATCACATATAAAAGCCAGGGCTTGGACCTAAGATAAAATTACTTGTAAGAATGAATAACACTGCAAACATAACAAAAACCTTGGCATACTCCATGGCTCCTCAGATGGTGATGCCGCACTAAAAAGAAAAAAAAAAAACAAAACCTCCCAACCCTTCAGAACAGTCCTCATATGCTAACGTTTTTGTAGTTCAAATATGGGAAAGTAATTTCTTTTATCGAAAAAAAAAAAGAGTAAATGTCATAAAAAGCCCAAGCAACAAGTTTGAGCCAACTAAATACTATAAAAACTTTTCCCCCACAAAAGGCAAAGTATTAAATGGCAAGACAGAAATAAATCCTTTCGCTTGCCAGAAAACTTTCCATGGGCGTGTTCTCCCATGTGAGTCAGAGGTCTAAGGTCAGGTACACGCCGGCTGGGGACGAGACACCCGTGTGAGTCCTGCATGTTATCTCTGACCAGACTTCTGCTCCGGCCAAAACCTTGTCCTGTTTCACTTGCCTGAGTTCCAGATACACCCACTCTTGGCTGCATCATGAGCTCTATGTATTTTTTAAGACAAAGCCTGAGACAGCAAGCCTCCATGGAATTGTGGGATCCTACATTACTGACTACGTCCAAAGTTGATGTTCTTAAAGACGAATAAGCAGAAGCAAACCTTGATTACACTAGTTACCCAGGATTGAACACTGATTATGCTTCAGAGTCAGAGCTTACCATGGATTCTTTGAAACTGTTGGAGACACTTCTCCGTATTTTGGGCCATTTTACAGACACATAACAATTGTTCTTCCAAACTATTTTTCAAGGATATTTACATGAAAAGATAGCCTTGGAAGACAGAAATGACCTCGCACTCAGGGAAAGAGGGAAAGTTTTGTTTGCATGTAAGGTATTTCAGGCTGTCCTTGAGCTCCTTAAGTAGTCAAAAATTACCTTGAACTTTCTGATCTTCCTGCCTCCACCTCTCCGATTACAGGCAAGCACCACCAAGCATGCGTGCCTGCGTTTACGCAGCGCTGGCGACTGACCCTAAGCTTCATGCGTGCAAACCTTCACTTTGCCAACTGAGCAGCATTTCATATCATTTGACAATATCCATAAAAGCATGGCAGGTGTCTTGTGAGCTGAGAAGTAGGGCAGATCTCACACTTATCAAAGTTTTTCACAGAAATAGAAAATTCTTATGGTGATCAGTTGTAAAAAGAGAAAAAAATTTAAGTAATGCAAGGCTCAATTTTTCAAAAATAGAATAGTCCAGTCGCCATTTATTAAACATATATATTAGGTGTGGTACAAAGCAATTTTTTAAAATCAATTATACATATATGTACTATGTACATATATAAATGCATACACAGTACAGTTGATTTTAAAAACTAAATTATGAAATAAGGCTACTATCCATACTTACAGATTTAAAAGCAAACCAAAACCCAAAAATATCCCATAAAATTAAGTAATTCGTATTGCTAACTAGTGGTAAAGCTGAAAATCTCTAGTTTCAAACTTTTATTAGCTTCTAAATAAAACACAGTGTAAAGATCACAGGCTATTTTGACCTTAAACAAAATACCTATATTATATAGCATTATATTTCATTTTGGTTTTCTGTTTGTTTTTCCTCCTAAAATAATAGCTGCATATTGAGCACCTTTTGATTGAAAGCACCATGCTAAATATTTATATGCTTTCATGATATTTTCTCTTAATCAAATTTATTTGTAGACAGCCTTGTACATGGATGTAATAAATAGCAAACACTCATCGCCTACCTCCTTACCATTCTGCCAACCTCCCTTCTCCCTGACAAATCACTCTCTTTCTCCTCCCCAGCATGTACAAGTCTATTCAGTTGGTTTGTGGACCACTGAGATGAACCAGTGTTCTGTGTCCCCGTTAGGTCTGATGCTGTCTCTTGCAGCCCAGTGGGCTCAGCAGAGAGAAAATATTTCATATTAATTATCTTATTTTCATTGATTTCTATTCTAGACAGTGTGCTGATGGCAACCCACTGACCTCAAGCTCACCATCTTGCCTTGTCCCTGAGTCCAGGGATTGGAGTTACATAAATTATCATACTCAGCCCACCTCACCCTTTGAATAACTCCATACACTAGGTGTTATTCCTAGTCTGAATAACCCCATACATTAGGTCTGATTACCTCTACTGCACTCACTGCTAAATATTCAACATTAACAGTAAGCCACTTAGTGTTGGTTTGTGACTAAGTCTATATCATATTTTGTGTATTCATAGAGGAAGGTACCACAAAAGCTACTGTTCATAAAATTCAAATCAGAAAATTAGGCTATAGGTACATGTTTTCAAAGCTAGACATTTAAGAAAATTGTTGTCAGCTCAAGAGAGGTAACAATATTTCACAAAACTATCTTGACACTCACAGATAAATAGAAAATGAGTGTGTGAGTGTGTGTACCTGTGTGTGTGTGTGAGAGAGAGAAAACAAAAAGGATTACACATTTCTAGAATTGCTTATGTTCTTCAGAGTAAGACAATTTTCAAATGATTCCTAATTTTATGGGAGCAAGTAAAAATAATAACACATCAGACTTTCTTGAGGAATATATGCATATATGTGTGTATCTGCGTGTATATTTTAAAACGTTTTATATTTCAGATGATGTTTTTCAAGATTTTAAAAGGCATTTGTTCTGAATCAACCGTTCTTACATATATATTACGGCAGAAAAAAAACACATCACTTTAAAACCTGGAAGCTTTGTTTAAGCTTAATGCAGACAATTTGGGGATGGGGATAATCTTAACTAAAGGAACTCTGGGAGTTATTGATGTTTAGTCCTGGAAAGAACTGTTTTTACTTAGCCCACAACAGCATTCTCTTTTCTGCTTACCATTTCTTTGTTTGAGTGCTTACATGTATGTGCAGGGATGTATGCGTGTATGTGCTCCTGTCTCTGGAGGACAAAGGCCCACATCAAGCATCTTCCTCAATCACTCAGTCACTTATGTTCTGAGACAGTCCCTGATGGAACATTACTGAACTGACAAGACATAGATGTTGGGACTTGAAATCAGGTCTTGGTGCTCATGAGACATCCACTTTCATCTCCACATACCCACATTACATCTTTATAAAATAACAAGCTAGCTGGAGATGTAGCCGAGTGGCAGAGTGCTTTCTCAACACACACACATAGCTCTGGCTCAATTTCCAGACCTTGTTGGGAGTTTGAGGCCAGGCTGAGTTACCCAGGCTTTACCTTTAAACAAACAAACAAACAAACAAATGAGCTAGAGACTATGCAGTCAGCCATAATTGTACTATGAAAAAACACAAACAGAAAAAAAAAGAAAAAAACAACAACATCACATACTATTTATTTTAGAAATGTGTCTTAAACTTAAAGAAGAATTTTGGATCCATTTAAGTGTTAATTCTTGGTGGTGAATTAGAGAGAGGAGCCTGCTGTCGGTATAGTGGGATGTGCCTAAGGCTAACCGTTTGGCTGGGAGGCAGAACCGTGGAGAAGTTGATGGGTTACAAAGTATGCCGTGATTTCTGATCTTACTAAGTAAGGCATGATAATAAATATGGAAATGAAGTCGTGGAAATCTACATTTTAATTATGTAGTAAAACACTTCCCAAGGGCACAAGCATCAGTGGGTGTTAAACCAGAAATCTGAGGTATTCTCACCAATGAGCGCTAAAGCAGGCTTTCATTTTACCTGTGAAGACTTAGGTCATGTCTAGTGACTGACTTGCCTCCTGATGGCTTTTCCACCATGGGAACTGTGCAGAAATGGGAGAGGGTGATTTTTCTCCTGCATTCCTGATACAGTCAGGAAAGAATGTCTCCACCGAGTGTCCTGCCTTAAACATGGAGGATTTTAGAGAGGGAAAACAACACCTGGAGAACAGAATAACGGCTCTACATTGCTTCCTATCGCTGAGATGAAACTCCATGACCAAAAGCAACTTATGAAGGAAAACGCTTGTTTCCTCTTACAGCTACAGGAAAGTCAGGGCAAGTGAAAGACAGGAACTGAAGCAGAAGCTGCAGAGGAGTGCTGCTTCCTGGCTTGCTCTCTGCGTTCAGTCTACTTTCCTACATAAACCAGAGCCACCTGGCCCATGTTGGTACAAGCCCACAGTGGTCTGGGCCACGTCAAACAGTAAGGAAGAAAATGCCCCATAGTTTTGCCTACAGACCAAACTGATGGAGGCATTTGCTGAGTTGAACTTTCCTTTTCCCCAATGACCCTGGCCTGTGTCAAGTTGAAAAAAAACAAAAAAACAAAAAACAAAAAACTACCACAATGGCACAATCATAAACCCTTTAAAATATTCAAGTTATACATAACCAAGAACCACTACAACAATAATTTTCAAACCAAAGCCGAATCACTTTAAAAAGGAACAGATAGGACAAACAGAAACAGAGGCCTGGCAAAAACACCAGCTATGCTAGTGTGAGGTATTGTCAGAGCACGCCAGTGGTAGAGCCTGGCATCAGGGAAGACATGGGTGTCGGAGCTGTAGAGGGGAGACACTGCTCTGAGGCCTTCTTAGTTGTTACATATATAGAAGCCCACAGGTGACAAGCACTTTGGCATAAAGAGGCAAATTAAAGGTTACCTGGAAATCTTCTGATTATCCGACACAAGCCCTCTTTCCTGCAAAGCTGGGGCTGTATTTCTGGTAATACATTTACCTGAAAGAATCAAAAAAGATCTTAGTGATTTAAGCGTTCAAAAATAATGATGCCGGGGGAGGGGCGGAAGAGAGAGAGAGAGGAAGAGAGATCACAAGCTGTAGATATTAATCATTCCCGTCTGCATCCACATTCAAGGGTAAAAAGCCTGCAAGTGAACACTCAAATCAAGAATGATGAAGTAGCTGATTTGACTACATGAAATAAAAATGTGCCCTTCGAAATCTTCAAAATATTTGGGGATAGATTGGGAAACCTTTTTTATTTCAAAGCTACCATAGTTGATAGACATAAAAAGACATACTTATGTCAAATACAGTAACATAGCTTCATAGTTGCACACGGCAAAAATAGTGCTGAAGCACTAGAAAGCTGTGTAATGAAGTTCCGAAGGCCACCCAGCTCCTCAGTTAGTGCCAAGCCTGTCTCACCATCTCACACACAGTCTTTACTTCATAATGAAGGACATTGTTGCTTCACCTATTTAAAGAACAGAAACTGTTCTAACAAATTTAATCTCTCTCCTCTTGTGAGTTTACAGTGTGATTAACTAGCTACATCAACTGTATCTCCGAACTAAAACCAAATATGGTTAAACCTTGTTAAATTGGGGAGAGAGATACAAAGAGAGAGAGAGAGAGAGAGAAAGATCTGTTTAAATTAGCTTGAAGCTCAGATTTATTCTTGAGGCATTATTGATTACTTTCAAATTAATTCACTCTTTCCCAATAAAGTATTATAGTTTCTTCAACATGTCCTGCTGGCATGACTAGATAAAACTTAACTGTGTTAGAGAAAACAGGGGAGGGAGCCATGGCCTCAGTCCCAATTTTGCACTAACAGAATCCTGATCTTGAGCACAGTTTGCTTGTGTGCCCTCAGTTTCTTTGCTTATACAATAAAGCACGTAGAGCCTTGGGTATCTAAGTTCCACTTTGATCAATTCTATAATAAGATGTAGCTCTTCCCTAATGATTCATGTAAAGTGCTTGGACCCAGTCTGATTAAATCCTCCCTGACACTGGGAATTGTATTCACTTATTCATTTATTCAACAGACCCTCTGTTGCCCAAGTACAGCTCTCAGGAGAACAAGCCCCAGCCCTGGTCCTGTAAGTGGACCCACAGCACCATGACTGGGCGTGGGCAGCATTCCTCAGCAGTGCGTTTTGTACAGTCTAGGAGCATGCCAAAGGCTACCACACTTGCATGTATTTGCTCTAGAAACTGAGGGAAAGCTGTCAGTGTGGGACGCTTACAGTTTTAGGGTTGTCTTCACGTCTCAAATTCAAAAACGGGTAAGCTTAGAGGCTAAGTGTAAGGAGACAGGGATTTTCCTAAAGCCCTGGCTCACCAGTTTAGAATTCTTAAGACACGCTGGAGGGGCGGGCAGAGGACTGCGAAAGCATGGGGAGGCTGTAACGGAGATTTTGTTGTTGTTGTTGTTGTTTTAAGTTACACATGACGTGTTTTTCTAAGATTGTGAAAAGCTTCAGATGACAATAAAAATGGAAGCATTTGTTCTTATGTAAGGCAAAATCACTCAGCTGCTAACAATTTCATAGACTTTTTAAAGGAGGAAGGATCCGGAAAGTTACCAAGCGCTAGAGAAGCAGTTTTGAGTTAGTTCCATGGACCGGCACAGGCCCGCTCTAACTGTCTAAAGTCTCAGGGTGCTTGCGCTGCTATTGTGGGAGCCTAGAACTGGCTCTCCCTATCAGGAGAGGACGAAAGACTCCCTACTGAAAGAATACTTTGCTAGCACAGATTTCATTTCTGTGTCGGCTTCATGTGGAGCACCGGATCCGAAAGACTGCAGACAAAGACTTCCCAAAGACAGACAAAGCCAGGGAAGCACCATTCTACACTTCCGGCTTTGAGTTCCTTTCCCCCACCTGACCATTCCCCATCACCATATTCTCCAGACCGTGGCTCCTGCGTTCACACTTGCAGCCAACCTAACTGTGGTGACATGACCACCGTGATGTGGGACACCAAAAATGCCACCTCCCTTCAGCTCTGGAAGTGAACCCAAAACTGAGCTGGCCAACTGGGCAAAAGATGGGGACCGTTTAAGCACCATGCGCCACACATTTGTTGCAAATCAATTACGTCACGTATTTGACTGCTGAAGCTAACAGTGCTCTCTCATATTCTAGTGAGTTTCGCTTTAATAAAACATGGGAGCCCTGCATCACTACCTACCGGAATACTGCCGAGGGAGTTTTATCCGAATTAGCTCACCGATACGGTAAGCTTCTCCAGTGTAACACTGCAACAACCATTTTAATAATATTTCTTTTTAAACTGTGTGTTATATGTGTGTGTGTTCATGTGTGTGGAGGTGCCAGTGTGTGTGTGTGGGGGAACAGCGCCCATGTACACATATGTCCATGTATGTAGAGGTGGAAAAGCTAACCTGAGTACCATCTTCGGGAACGCCCTTCCCCTTCTTTGACACGAAGTATCTTATTGGCCAGTAGCTTACCAGGTAGGCTGGGCTGCCTGGCCAATGTACCCCAGTGCTGACATGACAAGGGCATACCACTCTACCAGACATTTACATGTGGGCTCAAGGGGTCAAGCTGATGCTCCCACTTGGCACTTATGTGCTTTGCTGATTGAAATATTCCTCAGCCACTAAATAACCTTTACTTTTTAAAAGAGCAGTCTTGGGTTCACTACAAAATTGGACAGATGTTATATGCATTTCTACCGTCAATATCAGCGTTCGAAAGTAAATATTAGATTTGCTATAATCAACATACAATTATCAGACAAAACTCATTTTCAATAAGCCTTTTACTCTTGCTTATAGATATGTACGTGCATGTGTGTGTCTATATGTATTCATGTTAATATGTGTGAACATTTTGTATGAGGTTAAATACTCTCTATACATATAGTTTTTATATATGTGTGTATATATATATATATATATATATATATGGAGAGAGAGAGAGAAAAATAAGATAGTAAAGATAATCTGCAGTTTTTCTTTCCATAGCATGAAACCCCTTTCACAAGATTAGAAAGTATATAAAAAGTGGTAATAACATTCACTACTGGGATAGTTTCTAAAGATATAATTAGGAAAACAGAAACATGCATCTTAAAATATTTCAATTCCCAAGTACACTTCCATAAACTTATTCTGTAATGAAATGAACCTAAATTGTTTCTATTGCAAATTCTCATAAGCAAAAATAAAAGTCGGGACCGGGGAGTGACCCAGTTGATGGCCAAAGGCCAGGCAGAGTTGCAGCCCTCCTGGAACCCTAGCACTGGGGAGGGAGAGACAGAAGCTTCCTGGGGCGAGACAGCTAGCTCAACTGCCTGCGGTTGCGGCACAAGGGGTTCAGTAAGCGACATTCCACAATAACTGAAACAGAGGTCAGCTGAGAAAGACCTCGGACATCAACCTGAGGTTTCCACAGCCATGTGCAAACACATGTTCCACATATGTGTGCTCACAGATATTAATGTGCGCACACAGATGCACGAGCATACACACAGGTGCATTGCGTACAGAGACAAGCAAAAGAGAAAGTAAAAGCCTGACTTCTGCTGAGGCATTTTTCATTCATTCAAAACAAACAAACATTATACAAACCACATAAACTTTAAGAAATGAAATATTAGCCACATTATTATCTAATTAAAGAGGATGAACATTTAAAGTAGGAATACATAAAAAGTAGACAGGAAATTCTTTTCTGGTCATTCCAAAATGGAGCATGACATAAACACCACTGGAGCTTAGAGAATATTCTTTGTGCTCATTGTAACTATTGGACTATCCTGTCTCTTATTTTGTCGAGATTTAGACCTTCTCCTAAGGCTGTGCAAGGTCATCCACAAGGAAAATAATTAATGTAAAAAAAAAAAAACAAAAACAAAAAAAAACAAAAACAAGGAGACCCAGCTAGTCAGAGAAAGCCAAGTCTTTCTCTTCTGCCTTCCAGATGTAATCACCCTTCCACCAAAGTAACAAGGAAATGCCCGGCATGCTTTGCAGGGAGAGCCATGTCGAAAGTTCTCAGTGCTCCACATCCTGAAATCACCATCTGGTTTTAGTGACTGCTAATCCCACAAACATTCAAAGCTAGCAATGAACTCCTTTGCTTCTGAAACCCTAGCACCCCTCTACTTGAGGTGAGAACTCTGGCTAGTGGCGGCAGCTACCGCACACAGAGGGCCTCCCTTCACAGAGTCTCATGGATAAGCCCGTCTTTAAATCCACGTTTCTGTCCTTCCTTCGGGCCATTGATTTATTCATTCTTTCTCTGTTGCCAAATGATTGTTTTCACCCATCACTGAATCTGCAAAGTTTTAATTCCTAATCATATCGGGTGCCCTTCAAAGTGCCCTTCAAAGTAGTCGGCAATTCTGCAACAACCCCAGCAAATGTGACAGGGATTTTGGTCTGGACTATGTTGTGCACATCAATCATGGTTCATAAGGCTTCAAGTTACCTATTCGTACCCAATGAAGTTATCTAGGTTAGGCTGTCAGAACAGTGTCTGAGTACTTGCTTTGAAAGTTTCTCTGCTTGAGAAAACAGGCATTTGAAGCCAGACTTCCTGCCTGTGGGCCCTTATTATTTCTTTCATTAGCTAAGCGGCCTTCGATTGCACCCTTAGCCCCTCTCTGCTGCTGTCTCTTCTGCTGTAAAGAAAGTGTACCAGTTTATGCTCCCGGTGGTGACTGGTGTAGGGTAAAAGCGCACAGGTGTGAGCTACTGCCTTCTCCTCGCTCTCCTCACCACCCCCACTCCCTGCTGCCCAGCTTGTCCAGTTCACCCTCCTCTGCCTCAATCACTTCAGTAACTGGCTTCCTTCATCTGGCCATCGCGTCTGAAGCACGCACTTCAATACAGTTGCCGGAGCGAAGCCTGTAAGCCGTCAATGGGACTCCTGTTGCTCCTCCACTCGACACCTTCCATCAACCTACCGCTTCACCAAGAACAAAACCTGTGGTCATTGCAAGGGTCGCCATGTC